ATGATAACAATACCGAGCACTTGGTTTAAGACCGAGCACTTGGTTTAAGACCAAGCACTATTGAAACCGAGAGCTGGGTTCAAACCCGAGCACTACTAAACATATATCAAAAAGAAAGAATATATATATATATATATATATATATAACTTAAAAAAACTTATTTTCACTGAAGGATAAAGATAACATCTACGACTTTAACTATGATAGTATACATTAACTAAACTGTATACGAATCATAAAGAGGAAATTATACTTAGATCGAACCCTTACTTACAAATATACTAAGAGAAAAATTGATCGGTCATTAACTGAAATTCTCCACAAAAGAAGAATTCAACCTAGACTGAATACTCAAAGGAAAACCGAATGGTCAATAATGACTTTCGGTGACAACCACATCATTTGTAACTCAAACATTTATACATACAAAACATGCACTAAAAGCAATACTTCATATTCACCCATGGATCAAACAAACATACAATCATTTAGAACAACAAATCATAATCAAATTATATAAGTTTCTCTTACCTCTAGATATAGTCGAATGCTCACAGTTGAAGAATGTTGATCACCACTACCAGTGTTATACACTTTTAGATTTTTATGAAACTAAACCAAACACAATACCATAATTGCTATCAGGATTTTATAGAAGAAGAAGATAAACTCATTCAACTAGAAATTGGTTTGCATGTGCTAGAAAACAACAGTGTCGAGAAAGGAATGAACTTATCAGTTCAATCCGCAACTCGATCGGTGCAAAAGAGAGCTCTTGTCACTAGAAGATCTCAAACATGGTCTGGTTGTTGATCAGAAGGAGAAAGGAATGAGACTTTTTAGAGAGAAGTACGAGAATTGTAGAGAGAAGGAGGAGAAAATGAAAACTCACAATGTTTTGAAGAGAATGGTGCATGCAAAGAAAGTGGCACGAAATTTGAAGGTTTGAGTTTTACACCACCGTCAAAAGTGATTGGCCACTCCGCTGCCCACACCTGTCTTCCACTTTCTGATTTTCACTAACACCTGGCTTCCACTCACTTGTGTTTTTAAGGGTTCTGACATTCCCCCTTACTACAAAATTTTTTGTCCTCGAAAATTTTTTGTCTTCCAATTACCAAGTCGAGTCTCCCGTCCTCTTGTCCCAAACCACTTTTACTAAATTGATGGATTTTCCTCTAAGATTCTTAGTTTGGCACTCGGCAATCGTGACTGGTTGCTGATGGACAAATTTATGAAACCAAAATATGATGTCACAAACTTGTTTTTCAATCGGCAAGTATGACCGAATCGTTCAAGTAATAAACTTGGTAAGACCAAGTATCGTTCTTCCCAAAGGACTCTCGGCCTAGTTTAGTTGTGTGGTTTATTGATTAGCTAAGACTTAAAAACGAAATATTTGGATTTTTATATGCAAAAGACGAAAATTAAATATGTATGCATGAAGTTTTGATCATTGGCAAAAAGCAAAAGATAAACACTTTCAATGAAATATATGTATGAATATGTTGTTGGGGTTCAATTTCATCTTATCCACTCTCATATATTTTAGGAATTCAACATTCAAATCATCATTGTTAATGCCACTCTCTAAAGTACCTTTCAAGAAGGCTTCTCCCTAATCACGAGTTCATACAATTCCTAGCATTCCTAATAATTAGTTCATAAGTACAGGAGCTTAACGACAACCAATATAATATTGGGAGAAATTCCCCGGATCTAGACTTCCCCGTACGCGCCCGTATCGACAAAACCAATAATCATGCATCGAATGAGTTAAACAATGCAAGCATTAAGTAAAGAGGAAAAACCCTAACTAATGATGAAAGAAAGCATAGATCTTAAATAAAAGATGTAAAAACAAATTCCATATATGAGAGCTTCAAAAGATTACATTGATTCCCCAACAAACATACAGAGTTTAGTTCACCATATTCATGGTGAACCTAGATGAATAACAATGAAAGAATGAAAGATAAAACCCTAAAAAGGTGAAGAGGAAGCCTCAGCATCCAAGATCCTCCTTCAAAGGGGTGGAAGAGAGAGTGTTTTCTTCGTTCCAGCCAAAGATACAAACCCTAGGAAACCCTAAAGCTTATATATTATTCGTAAATTACAGAAAATTAGGTCCAAGCCCATTAAAGTGCCGCTCAGCGGTAAGTGCGTGTCACGTTTCTTCCCCTCAGCGGCCATTTTGCCCCTCAGCGGTCCTCCCGTGAGCTCCTGAGTGCCGCTCAGCGGTAAACTGCCGCTGAGCGGTGACTTCGGCTTCTCCTTTTGCACTTTTTGATGTCTTTTCTGATTCCATATCTCTCCTTCTTCACTTCTTTCACCAAATTCACCTTAAAACCTGCACAAAAAACACTGAAATCAAGCATAAACCTGTCCAGCTCTCTTATTTCTGAAAATATGAAGAAAAGCATGATTTCAAGCTAGTTTCTAAGTATAAAGGTTGCTTTTAGTATCAATTTTAAGCATGAAAATAATAGTTTTTCAACTGTTATCAGTTGCATCTCCACCGAGCGGTCTTCTATGATTTGAATATCTTCTACCTCCAGCACGTGTGAAGGATTTTCCACATACTTTCTAAGTTGAGAAATACGGAAGACTGGATGAAGATTGGATAACTGAGGTGGTAAAGCCATCTCATAGGCAACTGGTCCTATACGTCTTAAGATTTGGTATGGACCAATGAACTTAGGAGATAGCTTCTTAGGCCGAACGGCTCTGCCTACCCCAATAGCAGGGTTGCGCCGAAGGAAGACATGATCTCTAGCAGCAAACTCCAGAGGTCTTCTTCTTCTATCAGCATATGACTTTTGTCTACTCAAGGACGTCTTCAACCTTTCTTGGATTAACTTCACCTTTTCTGTAGTTTGCTTAATTACTTCTAGTCCGGCAACATCGCTTCTCCATCTTGAAACCAGCAAAGAGGAGTTCTGCAGTTTCTTCCAAAAAGAGCTTCGAAAGGTGTCATTCCAATGTTGGACTGAAAGTTGTTGTTGTAGGTGAATTCAACCAAAGGTAGTACTTCATCCCATACTCCCAAGTGATCTAGTACGCACGTTCTCAACAAGTCTTCAAGCGTCTGAATGGTTCTTTTAGACTGGTCGTCCGTTTGGGGGTGATATGTTGAGCTCATTTGCAGTTTGCTACCCAATTCACTCTGCAGGGACTGCCAAAATCGAGAAGTAAACCTTGTATCCCTGTCAGAGATGATGCTACACAGCACTCCATGCAAACGAACTATCTCCTTGATGTAGAGTTGAGCCAGCTTTACCATTGACATCTTCAGATTGATTGCAAGGAAGTGAGCACTCTTCGTCAACCGGTCTACTATAACCCAAATAGTGTCGTGGTTCCTGACCATTCGGGGTAAGTGGGTCACATAATCCATAGAAATACTATCCCACTTCCACTCAAGAATTTCCAACTACTGCAGCAAACCACCCGGTCTTTAATGTTCTGCCTTTGCCCTTTGACATGTTAAACAGGAAGACATAAACCGAGCCACGTCATTCTTCATTCCTAACCACCAGAAGGATTTTTTGAGGTCTTGATACATCTTAGTCATGCCTGGATGCATGCTAAAACGGCTTTGATGCCCTTCCTCAAGAATAAGTCTTTTTAGCTCTCCATCATTAGGAACACACGTCCTACCTCTGAACCGTAAGAGACCATCCGTCCTTGTATTGAAGTCTTTTCCTTGTTCTAAACCGATCAACTCTAAGATCCTTTGCAGATCCACATCAGCCGACTATTTTTCTTTGATTCGGTCAAACAATTCACTTGATAATCTAAAACTGTAGCACCTATACCGCTCGTTTCTAACTCAAACTACAGTCTTAAATCTCTAAAGTTCTCCATCAGGCTTAGTTCTTTGATCATCATTGCCGAGACATGAACTGTTTTTCTACTCAATGCGTTAGCCACTATATTGGCTTTTCCTGGATGATACAATAACTCAAACTCGTAGTCCTTCAAAAATTCCATCCATCTCCTTTGCCTCATGTTCAGTTCCTTCTGCTCAAACAAATACTTCAAACTCTTATGGTTACTGAACACGTGGAACTGAGCTTCATACAAGTAGTGCCTCCAAATCTTTAACGCAAAAACCACAACTGCCAATTCTAGGTCATGCGTAGGGTAGTTCTTCTCATGTACCTTTAATTGCCTTGACGCATAAGCCACTACCCTCTTCTCTTGCATAAGTGCACAGCCCAAACCCTTATGAGAGGCATCACAGTAAACTTCGAACGGTTTGGCTGTGTAAGATATAATCAAAATTGGAGCACTCATCAGTTTCTGCTTGAGCTCTTAGAACCTCTCTTCACACCGATCGTTCCATGCGAAAGGGTGATCTTTTCTGATCAACTAAGTCAACGGCGCTACTATCTTAGAGAAACCTTCAATAAACCGCCTACAGTAGCCCGCCAATCCTACGAAACTTCTGACCTCAGTAACCGAACGGGGACTCTTCCATTCCAGTACAGCTTGCACTTTTGCTGGATCAACCGAGATTCCTTCCGCTGAGATTACGTGTCCCAAAAATTATACTTCCTTCATCCAAAATTCACGCTTAGATAACTTGGCATATAACTTCTTCTCTCTTAACACACCAAGCACTATCCTCAAGTGTTCTTCATGTTCCTCACGGCTCTTGGAATAGATGAGAATATCATTAATGAAAACCACCACAAACTTATCCAGGAAGGGTCTAAAAATGTTATTCATATAGTCCATGAATATGGCTGGAGTATTGGTAACACCGAACGACATTACTACATACTCGTAGTGACCATATCTAGACCTGAACGCAGTCTTCTGAACGTCTCCTTCCTTAACCAATATTCGATGATATCGAGATCTCAAATCGATCTTAGAGAACACAGTAGCCCCATACATTTGATTCATCAAATCGTCAATCCTTGGTAAGGGGTACTCATTTTTTATGGTCAGCTTATTCAACTGTCTGTAGTCCAAACACAGCCGAGACCTATCATCTTTCTTCTTCACTAGCAGCACTAGAGCTCCCCAAGGTGATGGCACTTGGCCGAATGAATTGCTTCTCCAATAGTTCTTCTATTTTCTCTTTTAGCTCGGCTAGTTCAGCTGGAGTCATTATATACAGTGCTCTAGAAACTGGCCCTACTCCCGACACCAAATCAATGGAGAACTCAACCTCCCGATGAGGAGGTAGTCCAGGAACTTCTTCTGGAAAAACATTCAGAAATTCGCTCACAACCGATCGGTCTCCACTCTTCTCACGACTGACCGAACGGTCATAGCCTAATTCTTCTAATGCCACGTCCACGTGCGACAATACCAGAAAGCAGCTGGCACCCTCCATTATATCTATCCTTAACTTGCCGACTGTCAAGGACAATTCCTCTTCTTCACTCAGAAATACCAACCTCTTCTCACCACAATCTATGAGAATGTGATTTGCAGCCAACCAATCCATTCCTAAAATTACCTCTAGGCCTTGTAGAGGTAAGCATATAAGGTTTACTCTAAATCTACACCCTTCCACCTCAATCGGACATCTAATACATACAGTAGAAATCCTAACCTCACCAATTGCTGGGGTTGATATCACCAGATCAAACTACATAACACTCACCGACCATCCCAACTTCTCAACACATTCCTTTGAGATAAAAGAATGTGTTGCCCCCGAATCAAATAACACACAACAGGGCAATCCATACAACAGGCAATAGATGGTGATAAGTTTACCTGAGCTTGCTGCTTCAGCTCCTGTGATAGCATAAACTCTACTGACCACTTGTGCCCAGCCACCACCCTTCGTTTGAAACCTCCCAGCATTCGACGGCCTCATCACTGCTCTTCGTCCCAAGTTTAATTCCTTCTCCCAGTGCCCATTCTTGTTACACCGAACGCAAAACTTGGAGTTGCTCAGTTAAGGACAGGCAGACTTGCAACGGAGTTCTCCACAAATGAAACAGACCATTGATCCTTGTTGTCCAGACTAACTGACAACACATGAGGGATGAGAAGGAGCTCCACCAGAGCTTGTAGTGATTTGAGGTCTAGTATACGGAGTTCTCCTCATACTTGAATTGTTTCGGGAAGGAATAGGTCCTCTAACCGTTTGTTGTTGTTGCTTCTTCTGCTATTCCACCTCTAACGTGTTCTTCTCTAACACCTTGGCTTTCTCCACCATTGCCGGAAAAGACTTAATACACAAACTTGAGATTAGAAGTTTAAGATCACTTCTCAACCCATTCTCGAATTTCCGACAATGCCACTCCCACTTGTAGCCATAGTAGTAAATCTTACTAGGTGCTTGAACTTATCTGTATACTCGGATACAGACATTCCTCATTGAACCAGCTGAAGGAATTGCACCTCTTTAGCAAATCGTACGCTATCTGGAAAGTATTCTTCATAGAACTTGTTCTTGAAAACTTCCCAAGAGATGGGGATATGATTCCCTTCTAATATCAACCTCATGTTGTTCCACCAATGATTGGCCTCTCCAGTCAAAAGATATTCAGTAAACGCCAATATGTTATCGTATGGACATCTCTTGGCATTGTAGATCCTCTCCATATCACGTAGCCACTGATCGGCTTCATCAGGAAGACACTTCCTAGTAAACTTGGTCGGGTGATGTTGGAGAAAACTCTCTAAACTCAACTCGACCTTACTAAAATACTACAAAGTTTTTGAATTTTTACAAAACGAGCTACTATGTCGAACGGTTCCAAAACTAATCTTTTAACCGAACGGTTATACAAAACAAGAATAACTTTCACTGTCGAACAGTCTCAAGGTTCAGCCTTAACCTCCACTTCTTCTAAGGCTTCTTCCAGCAACTCTTCTCCTTCTGCTCACATCCACAGGATGATCATTGCAACAGGAAGAAGACAACCGAACGACAATACAAACAAGACACGAAAATAGGGTAAGCTTATGAAATTTAATTAATTCAGTAAACATGTATTTCACATCAATCTGATATGAATCAATAGGTCAATCATACAACAACCAATTATACATTTTCAATCATAACCATACATCAATATAAGCAAAAACCGACCATTATACTCTGACTGTCCGGACTGTATGAATTTTGTGTAGCTAGGACGTATTTGTACCCGGGTGATGTAGTAACTGGGATGCACTCAACATCTGCCACCCGAGGTTAGTCCGGTAAAATTCGCCCATCTTAACTTATGGACTAGGACCTCCTACCATTCTGACACATGATTTACTCCTCTCTACTTGAGAATGAGTAATTAGAGAATATCAGGATAAATGTCACCTTAGCATGACCACATTCATACTTTACCGTTCAATAACCAAATTCTGAGATATTCCTCCCTGGAATACTCTTTCATAACCATACTATTTCATTCATCTCACAATTTAAATACCATCATACTTCATCATCAATACATTCAAATTGAACAAATAATAAAATATCCCATCTTAAAGACAAGACCTAATGAGAGAATACCTTTTAGACTAATCTAATCGAACATTTAGTGTAAGACCGATCGGTCTTTCACTTATACACAGAACAGGACCGAATGGTCCACACTAGGTAAGTTTGGAGGAAACAGTCGAACATTACAAGTTTTGGCCGAACATTATTGAGTTTGCCGAACACTATAGAGCTTGGCCGAACACTATTGAGCTTGGGCGAACACTACTGAGCTCAAATATATTATACAATGAAGTATGATAACAATACCGAGCACTTGGTTTAAGACCGAGCACTACTGAAACCGAGCGTTGGGTTCAAGCCCGAACACTACTAAACTTATATCAAAAAGAAAGAAAGAATATATATATATATATATATATATATCTCTACACACACACACACACACAACGTAACAACACTTATTTTCAATGAAGGATAAAGATAACATCTACGACTTTGAGTATGATAGAATACATTAACTAAACTGTTTAGGAATCATAAAGAGGAAACTATAGTTAGGTCGAACGCTTACTTACAAATATACTAAAAGAAAAACCGATCGGTGATTGACTGAAATTCTTCACAGAAGAAGAATTTAGTCTAGACCGAATACTCAAAGGAAAACCGAACGGTCAATAATGACTTTCGGTGACAACCACAGGATTATACAGAATACTACAAACTTAAGAGCAAACCCTATATCGGTCAGTTCACATGATTTGTAACTCAAACACTTATACGTACAAAACATGCACTAAAAGCAATACTTCATATTCACCCATGGATCAAACAAACATATAACCATTCAGAACAACAAATCATAATCAAATTATATAAGCTTCCCTTACCTCTAGATATAGTCTAACACTCACAGTTGAAGAATGTTGATCACCACTACCAGTCTTATACACTTTTAGATTTTTATGAAACTAAACCAAACACAATACCATAATTTCTATCAAAAATTTATAGAAGAAGAAGATAAACTCATGCAACCAAAAATTGGTTTGCATGTTCCAGAAAACAACAGTGCCGAGAAATGAATGAACTTACCATTTCAACTTACAACTCGATCTGTTCAAAAGAGAGCTCTTGCCACTAGAAGATCTCAAATGTGGTTTGATTGTTGATCAGAAGGAGAAAGGAATGAGAATTTTTAGAGAGAAGTACGAGATTTGTAGAGAGAAGGAGGAGAAAATGAAAACTCGGAATCTTTGGAAGAGAATGATGCATGCAAAGAAAGTGGCACGAAATTTGAAAGTTTGAGTTTTACACCACCGTCAAAACCGATCGGCCACTCCGCTGCCTACACCTGTCTTCCACTTTATGATTTTCACTAACACCTGGCTTCCACTCACTTGGGTTTTTAAGGGTCCTAACACCGATTCTCTACATTTTGCCCAGCTTGATTTTCTGCGTTTTGTCCAGCTTAATTTTTTGAATTTCGCCCCTCATTCTGGGTATTACGTCTTTAGACATTGGTTACTTCCCTCGTTCCATTTTCATGCATTGGGTGACTACTTTCCCCCTCGTTCTTCAAATTGGTAGCCACATTCACCGATTTCACCAATTGTCCCCTCAGCACATTGCCCCGATCAGCTCTCATCGCCGCCATCTTCGCCCTCAATTCCTGCATCTGCCTCTACATTTCCTGTAACACTTGCAACTGAAGCTCCTCCGCCATTGTGGTCTCACTTGGGTTTCTTCTGCACTCTCGGCCCCACGGTGGGTCCCAAAATGTTTCGGTAACTAGGTCCAAGACTATTGTTCCTCCTTCTTCCTTACTCTGTCGCTGCGATTTCCAACGACGCAAAGTTCCTCTCCACAATACCGATCGATTGTCACCTGCAAGAAACACTTTGACGCTTAAGTCAGGTTAGCTTCACGGAGATCAAGGTGATAATAATTCAGAAAAAGATGTCTTTACCTAGACTTAAATCTCATATTTATAGACGTGATTCTTAATAATAACCATTAACTATTAATCAATACCATATCAATGTCATATATATTATTTCCTATTGCTTTCTATTTGGTCATTAAAGTCATATGTTCCATTCCTGATAGCATGACCTTTAATGCTTATCAACAATCAACCAACTCTCTCGTGCTTGACTTCTTCGTCTTAGCTGATCGTTGTCAGACCAGACTTCTTTCAGTGGCTACCGAGTACACTACAAGTTCAAAAAAGGGAACTTTTTTTCTTTTTCTTCTTCTCTACCGATGGGAGGATATTTTACTCTTTTTATGTTAATGTGATGCAATTATTAATAATAGAGGTGCGGGAAGCAAAAGCTTTTACACAAACTCTAAAATGCCATATGTATCCCCATGTTATGGGCTAGCAAATACTATTGGGCCCAAAGTTATTCTTCTAAATGACACCCTCAATCTTTAGGCCATTTCTTCTTACACTCCATAGTTTCTTCATCCATCCCCTTTCCATATTAAAATGACCAAATTATCCTTAATTGAAAAAATAATAAAATTCCTAATCAAAATCCTAAAATAATAAAAAACCCTCTCCCTCTTATGAAAGCAGTCCTGCTGCACCTCCATACATAAGCACCTTCATACATCTCACCTCTATTGCTGACCTCCATTGTTGTTGGAAGATTCTTCTCCGAACTACACCTCCATAAAAACTTCATCGCACCTCCTTCATCGTTGAAGGCGTTGAACATCCCTATGAGGAGTGTTAGCAAAGTGAAGAGAAATGTATGTGTGCATTTTGTTGTGGTTTGTTTGAGAGAAGAGAAATCTAATACAAGTGTTTTAGAATTTTGAATGCTTTAGGGATTGTGGAATCCGTAACGTTTTGTTTTTCTTAATCCCACCACAATCCGTAATGAAAAACAAATCTGTACATTATGAATTTTACAATAAGTAATATATTTATGGGGTGCAGCAGCGCTGCCGTGGAGATTTTTTTTTTTAATTATTTTAGGGTTTAGAGTTTTTATTAATTTTTAATTAAAGTTAATTTTATCATTTTAATATGGGTATAAGGTGCAGGAAAAAAATTCAGGTGTAGGAAGAAATAACCAATCTTAGTTGCAACTTAAAATAGATTATGGACAAAAAAAACTCATTTTTTATCTTATTTGTAAATAATAATTCCCCAACTGATATTAGCATGAAAGAATTGGAATTATAAATTGTATATTGAAATAAAGAAGCATCAAATGAACTATCATTGAAGTGGCTGTAGTTTAGTGGTAAGAATTCCATGTTGTGGCCGTGGAGACCTGGGCTCGAATCCCAGCAGCCACACTTTTATATTTGATCTTAATAATTCAGTTTCTTTAATCTTTTTAGTAATTCATAGTTTTAAATTTTTTATTATTTTTAATTTAATATTTGTAGTTTTACAAAAGAGATTTTGT